TATTATTATTATTATTATTATTATTATTATTCCTGTCTTACAGAAAGGGAAATCAAGGCACAGAGAAGTGAAGTAACTTGCCCAACGTCACAAAGATAGTGTTCACTGCCATTTGAGTAGACACGCAAATTAGAGGTCGTGTTTGGTATGTTCGATGTCACTTGAGTGAAAAAGGATAAAAAGAACTTGCCTAGGAGGATTCTACCTTGCTGTGCTCTGTGACAGAATTATGTTCTTGAACCATTTTAATACAGGTTTATTTTCTACAGTATATGTTAGTAGTTGTCTTTCAAGGAACTCAGTATTTTAATTAACTCTAAATGTTTGAAAGTGGACAATTTCTATGTATGTTCAACAAACGCGTAAGCTATACCAGAGTCCATAATTAGGATCTTTTTATGTTGGATGGTGTGGCTGTCGGTAGTGGCATTTCCCCAGAAATACTATAGCTCCCAGGAAGTTTTATTTTCCAGTTGGAGTTTATAATTGTTACATCATGCCAGCATCAGGACAGGATGTATCTTAAGTGGTTTTCCTTTCCGTGTCTTTGACAGATGTGTCATCCCCACACCAGCGAGCCTCTGCCAAGATGAAACCAATAGAAGAAGGGGTGGAAGATGATGATGAGGTCTTTGAACCCATGTCTTCAAAAACATTTAAAGTCCATCAGTTGCCTTGATCACAGAGAAGAGTCCAGTTCCCAAGATGAAAATTGTCTTGAAGAGATCCTGAAAAATACCAGCACTTTTTCACTGCTTTTAGATTAGTCTGCTTTAGAACATCCAGACTGGTACAGTCTGAGGACCAGAAAGTGAGGAAGATTAAAAAATAGGAAGGTTATTTTAGCTTTCCTTCTTATTAGCCAGCTTTTTAAGTAGTTGTTTTCCTGAGCCTTCTGACTAAACCTAGTTCTATTTTGAGATATTTATTTTCACAGTATTATCTAGATACACTATCATTTTAACTTTAAGAAGTCTTAGCGTTGTGTCAATGCAAATGCCTTTTTACTTATTTTTCCAAGTTGTAGTTCATCTTCCTTACAGACAGTTTTTTCTCTAAATGGTAATGGCGCTGTCCATTTGATAGTTTTAACAGATAACATTAAGTTTGAATTTGAAGTTGAAGTAACATTAAAAAGCAGGGAATCTCAGGCTTTGTTCAATCGAGTTCTTGGATGGAAAATTTTAAAGGAAGACGTGATTCAACTGGTGTTTGTTTCTCTCCCAGGCCAGACACATTACTCTACTTGATCGCCTTACTTATTTAGACATGGTATAAATAGCTTGATAATGAAAAAAACTCATCAGACTTTTCTCATATTGCCCTTATATTATGCTATTTATAAACTGGTCTGAAACCTAAAGCTGGAACGATAACAGATGGAAGCAGTTCTGAGCTCCGTGTCAGCCTTCAGCTGAATTCACTTACCTGTAGTTTGGAGCCATCTTGTCCCACACATTCTGGTGTGGGAAATACTTTACTTGCGGTAAGGAAGATAGCAGGGTCAAGTGGCCAAGCAAGTGTCACAGAATGCGGTGACTGACAGGGCAGCTTCATACTTTTGTCAGTATTCTTAAGGTTCAGATTGTTCCTCCAGAGCCATAGATGTCCCTTTAAGATCAGTGTCAGAGCTGTGAATGTGAACACAGCTGTGGAGAGTAGACAGTTCCACAGGCCATCCATGGACACCCAACCCAGATTGCTGTGAGAGCCTTGATTCCAGATCTCTCCTTTGTACTAGAGTCATGTTTTAGGAAACAGTGGTAGTCAACTGATGGGAAATGAGACATTTGCTTAAATCATCGGTCAGTCAGTGTGGCTGTGGCACTGAGTTAGGTGAAGCCTGTTGATCAGCTGTGCTACATCATACCCACTGATGTTTATTTTGTTTCATCCACTGGAACCAACTTTGAGTACGTCCCCTGTTACATTAAATAGCTAAGAAAAGTTCCAAATGAAAATATTTTCAGGTGTGCTGAGCCAAAAGCAGCATCTCTGGTGATATCTGTTAGGGAAGGTAAATAAGCTACTCTAGGGCCACCTCAATTTACTAAATCTTTTTTAAAGCTAATTATTTTAGTAATTTCACTTGTGTTAAGTTTACATGCTAGATAACTCACTGAGAAAATTTCCACAAACTGGGAATCCAGCTTCTAACATCTTTATCGTATGTTGGCTTATTAACATTACAGTAGAGAGGCTGATTTCATTTTGCTGCTGTAGTGGTCTCTTCAGTATGCTGCATTAGAAATTTATTTTTGGGAAATGATGCAAAGTTGAATGACTTAGCCTTGGCTTTAAGATTGTAAAGATGTAGTAGGTTTAACTATCTCTTTCTGTGCCTGAGAGCCCATGTAGAACTATAAGGCAATGGTGTTAATACTGCTTTTCTTTAGCTATTGGAAGGTCACGTAGCCCATTTAGTTTACATATGCATAAGAATAATTTACAAAATCACTGTGTAGAGTAATTAGATATTACATCCTTCCCTAAGCAGAAAGTAATTTCAGATTCTGCTGAGGCCACATTTTTAATGTTCTGTGGGTACACAGAACCTTGGGATTTCCTTACTCTGACCCATCTTCAGGTTTGTCTCACTTTGTCGACTTCAGACAGTGGAGAAGGTCATCTCTAATGATCAACCCGGATGTGTTTGAAGGTTATTTTCTGTAGTGCTGGGAATAACCACTTTAAAAAGCACACTACTAAAATTAATGATACAAAGTCATTACTGCTTTTATTAAAATACATGAGTATGTGTGTGCATGCACATACGTCAGTGTCATTGATAAGAAGATTATAATCTCAAGATTAGGATTCTTAAAAGAGTCACTTAGCTTGAATGGGAAACATGAAACTATTTTTAAATAAGACCTCTAAAGAAGACAATGAGACTCAGAGAAAAAGAGCCACAAGCCTTTTAGTAGCCCTCCCACATAGACTTGATAGGAAAGAAGCACGTAAGAAAACAAGAGTTTTAAGTGTAGAATCTCCCCTGGATGATTTTAAATTCATTTATACAACTGAACAAGCATATCTTTGTATAAGGCATAAATACATAGACAAAAAACATGTTTGCTGCCAAAGTCACCAATTAAATGTTTTTTGGCATTCACTTAACTATGTGACCAAGGTTCAGAAAATGGTCTGCAAAAATTATTCTATAAATAACCCAAAATCTATGTTTAAATGTCACATCAAGTCTATGGTATGAATCTGGAGTGGAACATTTATACCAATGTATGTATCATTTGAAATATTTTGAAAGCCCTCATAAATATTTATATTTATAGAATAATAGCACAGACACTAGATAGATCCTCAATGATGTTTATATATATATCTTAAATTGGTAATAATGGGTGCTATATAATTATTTTATAGTTATCATCCTTTGCTTTCTGGGATCTTTTCTGTATCTCCCTATGGTTCAATCACTTTAATCACTGGACACCTTTGTGCTTTGCTGCCATGGTGAGCACTGGGAGACATCACCTTCTTCCTGTCTGCTTCTCCTTCCACACGTTTGAAGCGTTTCCAATTTTGCATCTTGAAGCTGCTGATTCCTGCCTTTGAGGCCTTATCATGGCTTCAAAACAGAGTCACTTGGATTCTGGAAAAACCTTTGGGGAAAATTGAGGTAACCTACACACTGCCTTGTCCCTGGTGCCCCTAGGTAATGACTCCACCCTCCATTGAAGATTTTCATGCTAGTGTATGGTGGCACCTGGCTGAGCACTGGGGTGTGCAGGTCAGTCCCAACCTTTGGGGCCCGGTGCTCTCCTCCTTGCAGACCGTCGGGCACGGCTCCAAGCAGTCACTGAAATTTTTTTTCATCTATTTTCATTTCCTCGGTTCTTTCTAAAGCTGCTCTACAGAAACCTCTAATCTTACCATGACTCAGTTTGCCCTTCCTTCCCTGTTTCCATCCCTGGTTTCCCAATCTTTTTCTAATCATCCCCAACTAAAGCGACTAGAAATTCTCACCTACTCAATCTAAATTCCTGAGGACTTGAAAGGATAAGATACAGTGTAGGGAGCTTGAGTTTGGGGCATCAGTATGGCTTCGGTTCTGTTCAGGCGACACATTTTCTCACAGGGTAGCCATGCTTTGATTGTCACAGAACCTGAAAATACCTTGTGTAGAATGACATATTGTAAGTGCCATTTAAGAAACCTGCCTTTAAGTACTATTTACATTTTTTTATGTTATAGCCTTTAAGTACTATTTACATTTTTTATGTTATAGCTGCAACCTAATTTTAAAGTACATAAGGGTTTTATGAATGCTTTATACAGGCATATTATTTATAGGAAACTCGTTCTTTCTGTTTTTAGGTACCATCTACATTGATAAAATTTACTTTTTGATATATTTACATTTTGCCTGAATAGAGCCTTATAGTTTAAAATATCTTCATATATTGCCATTTAATCAAATAATAAATTTCTTACTTAGAAAATATGTGTATTTTTTATTTCATTCCTCTTACATATACAGTGCATCTTCACTTAACGTTGTCAGTACATTCTGTGACTTTGAGAAGTGGCATGATGAAACCAATTTTACCGAAGTCTGATTGATAGAAACGAGAGTTAAATTCCTACACATCTGATCAACGTTATAACAAGGCGATGTTATTTGAGGACCTGCTGTAGTTGTTTGCTCTAACTCCGTGCCTAAAGGCTAGGATTGGTTCAATTAACTTCAGAGGTTATGAGAATTGCTCTGGTTTAGGTAGTCTGAGCAGACCTGCAGAAGGGGTGCTCTTGGGTCAGCTCCACTTATTTCCAAAGGTCTGCCATCTTGGCTTCCTTTGGCCATGAAGAGGGAAAGCTACAAAGCAGTGTACACAATGTTGACTGGAAGCAGCGATTGAGAAGCCTTCAGAGTTTCGCTGTGGGGATATAGATTTTAACTTTGTAGTCCACCTTATTTTAACATTCCTTTCTAGTTTCATAAGGTTCAACAACACACGGAGTCACATGAAAGAGGCCAAAAGTCTCCCCTGGGTCTATTCTGTGGTAGGCATGAGGGACCGATCTTTCTATTCTTGGAAAAACCCACATTTCTTCCTTCATCTATCCTGGGCCTTGAAATGGGAAATTGAGAGCCCATCCCTTAACTCTTAGTAGCAGGTCCTTGGCACCACATAAACTTACTCCAATCAGCCCCAAGGCTAGACCCAAATGGAAGGAGCATCTTATACTACCACGAAAGGAATTCTGTCGCTCAATAAACCATGTCACCTAAGTCTGAAGTCCAAGTTCTGAGCCTTGAACTTCTTGCTGAGCCAGCTTTGGGGCAGCTTCTTCTTACCTAAGCCTGTGCCGTGAGGCCTAAGAGTTTTCACCTATGTCCACTTGGGGGTTTTCTATGGACAGATGCGTTTATAGTCCGCCAAATGGTAAAATTGACAGTACTTGGCTATACGGATTTGTGGGAGCGATGTGGTGTTGAAGGTGAGGGGCATGTCAAAGATCTCTGTCCCCAGTTACTACTGGTCAGTCCCTAGCTAGGAACATGGCAGAGGAGCAGGTTTGAGTGGAAAGACTGAGTATACCTTCTCCATGCTGAGTTCGAGGAGCCTTTGGGATAGTGGAGAGATGTCAAGTAGGCAGTCAGATAAATAACTCTGGAACTCAGCGAAGGGAGTCTAGGCTGAAGATATAGATTTCTAAGTTGAAGATGACACTGTGAACTTGATAGCTTCCCAATACATAAAGATTTTTCCGATAAGGGGTGTTTTTGCGTATGTGTATGTAATGAATGAATGTGACTTTATTTTCTTTTATTTTGAAATGTATTAACATTTGGATAGCTGTATAACTCACTGCCAGTATTTTCTAAATAACCAATGCACAAAGTTGCAAAACCGTATGGTCTAGTGCAAGCTAGACCACTGTAACAGCAGAAAAGAGTCATTGGTATGTTTTCAGATTCTGTATTGCAACTAACTAACCATGAAGAAACTATCACTTGTTGAGTTTTGTTGTAGTATCAGGAATATCCACAATTATCTCTAAAGGCTACTAGAATACGTCTTTTTTTTTTTTTCGACTACATATCTGTGTGAGGTCAGATTTCCCTCCTAAACTTTAGCCAAAACAATGCAGAAGCAGATGTAAGAATCCAGCTCTGTTTTCTAT